AGAGGCAACCATACATTGACATTTCTCTCCCTCTCTCCTTCCCATCCCTTCTAAAGATAAATAAATTTTTAAAAAGAATAATGCATCTGAAAAATACCAGTAACACAGGTTTATAGCTTGTAAAAGATATTTTAGAATCCCTCAGAAAATTTCTATGACACAGGCTATCTAAGTTGCTTTTTATTTGGTTTTGCCAGAAAACAGTTAGGAAGATGAATGAAGCACTGAAGTTTATGATGAAAGTACCATATGACATGGACAGCTATAGTAAATAATTGTTTTTAAGGCTTTTAGCAGTGGTATATGTTTTTAGAAAATGATTAATGCTGGACAACAACAACAAAACAAAATTAAGTGGAAGCATAATTAACATTTTATGACTTCTTAAGAAAGTACCCTACCCACATAGATACCTTTTATTATAAAGCTAAAATAACATGTTACTTAATTTAATAACTTTTCATGTCCATCTACTACAGATCAGGTAATACAATATATATATTCAATGTGGTACAATGAGACAATGAAGATAAAATAACAGCCAAACAATCATTCAATCATTACTTATAGAATATCACTGTTACTAGTATGATCTCTCTTTCTTTCTCTCTCTTACACACACACACACACACACACACACACACACACACACACACATCTCAAAACTTCAAAGTAAATAGAGCCCATTTTCTACCTATTGCAATCCCTGGAATGCACCTATTCTTAAAAAAGGGGTTTTCTTTTCTCTTATGTATTTTAATTGAACTTATTAAGGTGACATTGAGTAATAAAACTATACAGGCTTCAGGTGTATCATTCTATGATACATCATCTGTACATTGTATTATATGTTCACCAACCCAAGATAAGTCTTCTTTTGTTTCAAGGATAATTTATCCTGACTATTAACACACACACACACACACACAGATATGCAGCCTCTATTGGGTGGTTACCTGACTAACAATAATTCTCCATTTTCCCTTTTTAAAGAAAACTCCATTTTTTCAGCTGTGGAGGAACCATGCACTACAGTGTCCCCTCCTTCGTCCTAGAAATAGAACCTTGATTAATAAAAGTCAGTTATGAAACTCCTATTTCCTTTGCTAACGTTGGAATTAAGAATCCAAGTAAGGCTCAATATATATCAAATGAAGCAAAGACTTGCAGGAAACTTTTGGGAAAGATGCAGTTACTTTTCATAGGGGGCATGAGGATGGGGTATGCTCTCTGCATGGGAGCTGTTGTGTTTCTCTCCCTGAGACTCCTTAATTCCATACAACCTTTTAAGGCATTTGTATAGTGAGTAGCTTTCAGAGATAGAAATAGTTTTGAAGCAAAAGGAAGGTTCATTTACTGTCCAGACTAATAAACATGAAGTCTTGCTCTAGCGCAAAATCAAGCAGGTTAGCTCAAAGTCTAGTATAAAAGATTAAGATCCCCTGGTATTAGGGCCCCTTTCCTATAAGACAATCCAGCAAGCATGCAGACATCACCAGACCCTTCTCCTTGCCCTGTAGGAATTGAGACTTTGGGAAATAGCTCAAACAAATGACGACACAGTGGTGGTTGTCTCTGTTATGAGTAACAAACAGTCTCTCACTCACTAAGAGGTTCTCACATCTTCAGTCAAATCCACGGTAATGTGACAAGTTAGTTTGCTACCCTGCAAAATAGTGTGAAATACAGATCCTCTGCAGTTCCTGACACTCGCTTTCCTGGTTCTGCCCACTGCACAGTGTCCTGTGGCAGATCACTCCGTGGTAGAGCTGTGGCAGCCAGGGAATGATCACGAAGGTCCGTGTGTGAGGACAGCAGTCAGAACTGTGTGTGCCAGAGCAAAAATACGTGAACAAACTTGGTTATCAAAGATATGCTCAAGTCTGTAATAACAACTTTTGGGATTATTCTATTTCTACATTGATCCATTTCCTCTATTTTTAAAATCACTTGAATCGGGTTGTCAGCAGTGGCAAGACAAGTTAATCTAAAGCATCAAGAAATGCAAACAGATTGGAAGGCCTGTTTCCTACCATAAATAAAATAACGTCCAACAATTATCTAGGGCTCACTATAAGCAAGAAGAGTAATAAATATTTTGGGTACATTTTGAAATTGAATCCTTATGTGACAATGCTGCATAGCTGTTACTAACATGTTAAAAACTAATTTCTGAACCTCAAGTGGTTAAATAATTAGTGTAAGATAATTCAGCTAGTAAATGGCAGAACTGGGATTTAAATTCAGGTCTACCTGGCAACAAGCCTGGGCTCCTACCCTGACAGAGTGTGTCCCGAGTAGTGATAATACCCAACATTTGCGTGGCTTACTTTCATCCCAATTCTGTACTATGCATTTAAAAATCAATTCTCCTTACATAAACAAGGAAAAATTTTTGACCAGTTATATAAGTGTCTGTGCAAATGAATGCCAGAAACATTCTGCTTGAAAATGAACTTTTTAATTTGTCCCCAAACAATAATTTTAAATCAAATATCTGCTTGGGCGTTCAGATCAGAGCTGAAAATTGGATGCTTCCCGGCTGTTGCTGAGAGCGAATTTGCACTGTTTGTTGTGGACTAATTTTGTCAACATATATTATCCTTATAATTGGGAAAGCTGTTGTGTTGTACTGATAGCTAAGCAAAAGAGGGACTAGTATGCCTCCTATTAATTCCTTATTCAGGAGTCCTTTTTTTTGCTTGAAAATTACTCCAACCTTGACTTCAACCTAAAAACATGAATAGAAACAACCCCCAGGACTGTTAGACATTAAGCTTTATATTGTCAGGAACCTGGTTTGATTAGTTCAAATAAATCACTGTCCTCTAGGCCAGTGTCTACCTTCAAGTACTCTCATGAGTAGGTCAATTAATGAATAAAATACACACACACACACACATATTTGAAGATATATATAGATATAGATATATCTTTGAAGATATATACATATATATATATATCTTCACTTTGAATCATAATACTCCCTAGAAATATTGTAACAGTGTTCTCTGAGATTCTGAGTAAAAACAAATCTGTATGAAACAGAACAATTCTTAATATAAAAGTTGCTTTTTTGAACAATAGTTGCTTGCTTTTGGTTGCTCAATATAATCCACGGGTTATTTTTCTATTATAATTTAGGTTTGTAACAGATTAATAAGCTATCTAGTTTCTTCAGGTGGTCAAAAGGGATAGAAATATTCAGTGAAGATTTTGAAGTATTGGAATGTAAGACTTGAAATTAAAAAAGATGACTGAAATATCCTAAAGTTTTTCTTCCTGTATCTGTAGTGCCAGGAGTGACATCAGAATATAACCTACTTCTCAACTGTAATATAATTTTAATATAAAAGTTATTTGTTATCACTCACCACCATGGCCCAGAAGTGAGACCTAATCCAAATACATTATCCATTGTAATATAGCTTTGACATGTATTTCCCTGGTGCAGTTGTTTTCCCGGGAACCTAGTCCTAATTATTTAACACATTCAAAGTCAATAAATTATTAGAGGGGAGCAAAGGCCTGTTGGTGGGTGAAATTTCTCTGAGAAATGAGAGTCCTCTCATCAAGTTAGAAGTTACAACAAGGTGTTGTTTAATAACAGCAAGTAATATTTTTAAATTACTGTTTAGAAAGTATTGCCTGATATTAAAATGACTTTATATAAATGCTGTGTCCTCAATTTAAAAGGACATTGGTAACCCCCGTAGGAATGAACAGGCCTTTTCTCTACCTAATTAAATTAAGTGTGGTGTACAGTGCCTCTCTGCAAAGATTAATAGAATGCATTACTTGTCAGTTTAAGTGTTGCCTATGGTGGTGCTTTTTTTCTAATTTAATTAAAAGCTGTTCTTTTATGAAGAACATGCTTGCAGCATAATTCCTCTTACGTTTACACTTCTAAAGGCTGTTTGGGAGAAAGTGGAGAGTAAAAAGGAAGGAGAAAAAAGAAAAAGAAAGGAGTGGGGTAGGTACCCAAGTGGAAGTTAACTTCATTTCCTGGTTTGGGGAAAATTTTTCATTCAAAAGTGAAAATGCGGGGAGATAAAGCAGGAGAGCAGGGAGGCAATAGTTTTCATTGCTGAGGTTAGACTATATGTCTATCTTATGCCCAGTTGGCATGATTGATAAAAATACTAACCATTTGTCAAACTGGTAATTGCCCTACAAACGCTCACTTAGTGAAACATTTGTTGTGCCGTTGGGTCCTTGAAGGTGTGTGATTAGTGGTGGAGGCTGAGGTAAGTTTTTCAGTCTGTCACCACATGCAAAGCTCAGTACGAGTCAGCAGTGCCATATTGAAAAACCACTTGGTGCTCCGGGACAGGCCAATGAAGTTCATCCAGTAACATCCTGAAGATATGGAAGGGCCAAGAAAGCCAACTGAAGAATCTTCTGCCAATATTAATGGTTTCTTGATCAGGATTAAACAACATTCAACCCATGGAACTCTTCCTATTTTTATCATATACCTAGAATATCTATTTGTCTTACCAAATATTTATCATCTTAGTATGAGAAGTCTATATTTTCTTAGTTTAATCAAATTGGAGAGAATAAAATATAGTCCAGAAAAAGACACCTCATTTTTTAGTGGTTATATACAGGATTTTATTGCAACATTAGAAATGAAAATAAACTGTGAGAAGCTACAAAACCACGCCACTTCATGCAGATTGTAGAGCCAGGGAGGGACCCATTGTGGATGGTTACAAGCAAGTTATTCTGTAGGGAAGGCAGCACCTACACATGCAAAGGTCATCAGTACTCACATTATTGATAGCATCTGCCAGCTGGAATTTATGCACCAATGGAAAATTTAAAACTGTAGTTAAGGCAACATCCGTTACCCCTGACTTCTTAGCCAGGAAGTATGAGTGAGAAGAGATCAGGGGTTGCCCCAAATCTCTACAACACAGAAGTTTATGAAAATAAGCCCCAAACCAAGATACCCAGGCAATGCTGGCATTTGCTCTTGGGAGAAGATCCTCATTTTATGACATTTGAACACACTCTTTGTCTTGCTGGGTAGTTTCCTTTGAGGGGAGTTCAGTTTTTTCTTTGGTGCTAGTTTTTGTCAGTGATGACCTGTCCAACTTCTCCACTTCAGACAAGTCTGGCTTATCACTCATCTTGGCTGAAGGCTGGAAGACCTGAGAAAGGTACACTTCTGGGGGCAGGGCAAGAACTCTGCACACTGGCTGAGATTAGCCTTCCAACGCAGAACCCTGCAGGTTTGAAAAAAGGAACCTTTTGATAAATAAAATATCTGTAAAAATGAGAAAAGTAGGGGAGATGAATGGCAAATATAAAAAGGTGCTCATTAGGAAGTACAAACTAGAACAACAATGAAATACTACTGTAAACCTATTATTATCACTGAAATCCAAATCACTGAGAACCACAAATGCTGGCAAAGTTGTGGAGCAACAAGAACTCTTATTCATTGCAGGTGGAAATGCAAAATGGTACAGCCATTTGGAAGGTACTCTTCTTTTGAACAAAACTGAACGTACTCTGACCATATGATCTATCAATTATACTCCATGGAAGTTACCCCAGGGAGTTAGTTGAAAACTTATGTCCACAAAATACCTGCATAAGAACATTTATAGTAATTTTTCCCATAGTTTCCAAAACTTGGAAGCAACTAGAATGTTGTTCAGTAGGTAAATAGATAAACTGTGGTACATGCAAACAATGGAATATTATTTGGCACTCAAAATAAATGCCATTAAGCTATGGAAAGACATGGAGGAACTTTAAATATACATTTCTAAGTGAAGGAAGCCAGCCTGAAGTGGCTGTATACTGCATGATCTCAGCTATATGACACTATGGAAATGCCAAATTATGGATGGGGTGAGACTACCAATCATCGCCAAAGGTTGGGAAAGGGATATGAATGGACAGAGCACAGGATTTTTAAGGCAGTGGAACTATTCTGTAGTAAACTATAATGGTCCATACATGTCATTACATATTTGTCAAAATCCATGGAGTATACAAAGTCAAGACTTAACTTTAATGTGGCTGTGAACTTTGGGTGATGATGATGTGTCAGTGCAGGTTAGTTGATTGTCACGAACATGCCACCCCGGCAGAACATTGACAGCGAGGGAAACTGTGTATGTGTGGAGCACATGGCAAATCTCTGCAATCTTATGCTCAGGGGCCTAAAACTGCTTTAAAAATAAAGCCCACCAAAAATCAATATAACACACCATATCAACTGGATAAAGAAGGAACAAATGACATATCAGTGGATGCAGAAGAAGCGTTTAGCAGAGTCCAACACCCAATAAGGATTAAAAACTCTCAGGGATTGTGAGTAATTACTTTAACTTGGTAAAGTAAATCTAGGAAAACAAAACCCTGACAGCTAACAAAATGTTTATCAATAAGAAACTAAACACTTTCCCTCTGAGACTGGGAATAAAGCAAGAATATTTTCTCTCACCACTCTATTTAGCATTGTATAGGAAATCTTAGGTAGTCAATTAAAAAAAAAAGAAACACAATGCACACAAATTGGGAACAAAACTCTATTTGTGGATGACATGGTTGTCTATGTAAAAAAATTCCAAAGAATAAATTTAAAAAGCTCTTGGAAATAACTATAATAAGTGTAGTAAGGTTATAGATATAAAGTGAATATTCAAAAATTAATTGCTTTTCTATATCCCAATGATAAACAATTGGACTTGGTAACTTAAAAATGATATATATTTATAAATGGTATATAATAAATAGTAAATTATATATATATGGTATATATTTATAAAGCATTTACAGTGTTACCAAAAATGAAATACTAGGTATAAATCCAATGAAATATATTCCAGATATATATGCAGAAAACTGAAATTTTGACATGAATTAAAAATCTAAATAAATGAAGAGATATTTTGTTTTTATAATTGGAATACTCAATGTTGTTAAGATGTTAATTCTTCCCATTTGATATGTAGAATCAATGAAATCCAATCAAAATCCCAGTCAGCTATTTTGTGAATTCTAAAATATATATGAAAAATCACCTGTGCACCCCAATATTCATAGCAGCACAATTTACAATAGCCAAGAGTTGGAAGCAATCTAGGTGCCCATCAGTAAATGAATGGATCCAAAAACTATGGTACATATACACAATTGACTTTTATGCAGCAGAAAGAAAGAATGAGCTCCTACTCTTTGCAAAAGCATGGATGGAAATGCAAAACATAATGTGAGTGAAATAAGCCAGGTGTTGAAAGACAAATACCATATGATCTCACCTTTAACAGGAAGATAAACAACAAAGCAACCAAGCAAGAAAAATATAACCAAAGACATTGAAATAGAGAACAGGTAGACAGTGACCGGAGGGGCAAGGGGAGGGAATTTCAGGGGGAATAGGGGAGGGATTTACAGGAACTAGTATAAAGGACATATGGGCAACAACTAAGGGGGGTAGAAATGGGAGGGAGGTGGGGAGCACTGGGAGGGTGGGCTGGGATGGGAGTAAAAAACAGAAAACTGTACTTGAACAACAATTACACAAAAAAATGAAGTAACAAAAAATATATATGAAAAAGCAAAAGACCTAGAAAACCCATACAATACTGAAAGAAAGAACAAAGTTTAAGGACTCACACTACCCAATGTCAAGAGTTTGTATAAAGCTACAGTAAATAAAACAGCATAGTATTGGTGGAAAAAATAGATCCATAGATCAATGGACTAACACAGAGTGTTCAGAAATAGAGTACAACAAGTTACGAAAAAAGAAGGTAATATGAAGGGGAGATGAATCTGTATGCAGACCTTATACTTCTCACAAATATAACTCAAAAATGGATCACAGAGCTTGATGTGACATGTAAAACTATAAAACTTTGAAAAGAAAACAAATCTATGTGACCTAGTATTTATTGATGATTTTTTTAGGTATAAATCACAATCCATGAAAGAAAAAGATTGCTATCATCGCAAATGTACCAGACTAACCTAAAATGTTAATAAAAGTGCAAAATGGATATGGTGCCTATGGAAACTCTCAGTCCTAACTTTATAGCTTTTCAGTAAATCTAAAGCTGTTATAAACTCAAAGGTATTTATTAGAAACAAAGTTTAAGAAGTGGAAAGGCAGTGTTGTTGAAAGATTTAGAGAAAATGTTTGACAAGTATAACCTCTGTAGTGGTTACAGCTAAATACATTTTCCACCATTCGGTAGTCAAAAACCTGCTCGTTGGAAAGATGAAAAGGGTGAGAAGAAAAGAGAAGGAAAAACAGACTTAGCAACCTGGTTTTTCTAATCCCGTGCTATGGGCCAGCTTCTGGTTCAGTGGCGGAGAGGAGTAACAGATGTGCTGCTTGGACGTCTTCCAGTTTCGAGGTGAGTGTGGCGGGGCGCACGGATTCCAGAACGCAGGTCCTCAGGCCTGCCAAAAACATGCCCCAGGGACAGCCTGAAAATGAGGCAATCATTTTGGCACACCACAGGAGGGGCCAATATCACATGAAGAAAAGCTATTGCACTGTTCCAACCTAAGGAATAAAAATTTCACCTTTTGGAGGTTAGTGCAATCACAGATAAATCCCATCTTTTCTTTAGCGAGATCATAATATTAGTCATCTCTTTACTGCATATATTTTGAACTTCATAGCTCCTGTAAATTAGTATGGATTGTTAAGAAAGTCAGAGCTACAGATAATGGTATTTGAATTTAGAAAGTGTTATTTTCTTTTTCTGAGATAAAAAAATAGCACCCACCAAAAAATGTTCATGTTTTTTTTTAAGATGGATGATAAATTTCTCCCTAATGTTACAGTTTTATATAACAGCATTACATTCTGTTTGGTTCTATAGTTGTCTGCCATAACATTTTTAAATTACTTTATTGTTATTCAATTACAGTTGTCTGCATTTCCCCCCGACTACTCCCCCCACCCAAGGAAACCCACCTCTCTTCTTTGCTTCCACCCTCCCCCATGGTTTTGTCTGTGTGTCCTTTATGGTAGTTGTCTTCCATAACAATTTAAGACAGAAAAGTTAGTGGAGTGACTTCACAACAATAGAGGCGACCTTGTGAAAGGTCAGCTCCCTGCATGCTTCTTGTTTCTCAATACAAGACCCTTCTAGCACCAGGAGTATTGCTGTTGGAAGAGCTGGACACAGTCCTCAGAGAAAAATTACTGCTCTCCTGTTTTTGGATGTGGCCTTATACACAGAATTTGGGTAGCTTTTGTTAAAGCGGCTATTGGAGGCATATTGTTTCCCATGATTTATATACTGAGAGTTTTTTGTTCTGTCTTAAAGAAATATTTTTAAAAAAAACAGAGAGCTATAAAACGTATCACATTCTTAAAAGTTTGTGGAGCCCCCAAATATACCACAACATTTACTTTAACTTAAGAAATTTACTTTAGGTTCTGAAATTAATTAAAGTTACTTTTTTAACACTAGCAGAGTCATTTCAGAAAGGGCTTTGAGTTTCACCAGTTGAATCAAGCTGACTGGGGTCTTGCTGCTTCTAGAAAGCTTGACTCTTGCAAAATTGTAATTCTTAAGAAAAGCACCAGAGTGTATTGACTGTTCTCTATGTGATTAGCACTTTAAAAGTGGTCTTTTGCTTAGTTCTCAGAAAAGCTTATGAATTGTCTTAGTTACAATTTAAAAATCAGAAAACTGTGGCCAAGAGAACCTGGCATCTCCTCAGCATCACAAAACTAGAAATAAGTACGGTAATTAAAATACATACATATTTATATGTTGTATATGCATATATATGAAAACAGGCCAATCTAACTTTCAAATTTAGTCCAATTTACAAATGTTTATACATGAAAAATCTAAATTCCTTACGTACATGAGCATAGCGCTTATTTGTTACTATGCCCCTTAGCCCAGGGCCTAAAAAATAGAGGACACTCAATTATTGTCATTGACTGACTACATGTAAAATGCTTGGAAATCAAGTTTCTCATGGATTAACATTATTTTCCTGATCTTCAACCAGAAAAGGCAGTTGTAATAATATTTGCTAGTGGCTCAACATTTTAAGACATGTGTCACATGATCCGTCTCTCAATTTAGACATGGGCTTTTAAGGACTAAAATACAAATATATTCAGAATTTGATTCTATCT